TTTACACGTGACATGGAACTACACGTGTTTCAAAGGGATTTTCTTCTTCTTCTTCTTTTTCTTTGGGTGAAAAAAGGGATTATCTTCAAAATCCAAGACTTTCTACTTCTAAAAATTTTTTATGGGGCCATATTTCTACTTCTAAGAGGTCGGCAAAAGGTACCTGTTTGACCTTTAACTTTTCGAATTTAAGGGTTTTTACCTTTCATATTACAATACATAAATTTTTGCCCTTCATATTTTTGAGTTTAAGAAAATGAGGCAAAATTTAACACCGGAGTGTCACGTGGAGCACGTGCACCATTGGCCTCCGTTAAGTATGCACATGTCAATGCCAACTCAGACTTTTTTGACAACTTGGAACCCCATGAGCGGGAAGTCTACCTGCTACCAATTTTATTTGTGGGTCCGACAGACCAAAGGTTTGAAAAAAAAGGTTAAATCCCCGATTCAGTCCCTCAACTTTCATTTTTAAACTAAATTTACCTTCGAACTTAAAAAAGTACTAAAAAACTCTTTCCTTTAATAAATAAAAATTTCTTTTTTTTCTTTTTTCTTTCCTTTCCTTTTTTTTCTCCTTCACTTTTCTTTTCTCCTTCCCCTCTCTACTGGGTTCGAAGGAACCCAACACCAGCGCCTGAGTTCCTTTGAAGGATTTCAAGACAGCCATCAATGCCCAACTTACTAAATAGTGAATAAAAGTAAGAAATACTGGGAACTAGAACCCAACATTTTTAAGAACCTGCACAAACAAAAAGGAACAAGCTATGCAATTACCACTAGAGAGCTGTCAAATGTAAAGCTAGTAGTAGCACATACATAATATGGTACAAAGAACGAACCCATTTGTTCATGAAAATAATACCAACAGCAACCATAAAATTGAATGTGAGAGCTGAAACAGGACCCCAAATTCTTTGCTGTTGAGTTTTTGCACTTTCAGATGGACGGAATTTGTTAAATATAGAAGCTCGCAAATCTTCCAAAGCTTTTCCTGAATGTTTAAAGATGTTATTCCCTCCAGCATCCAAGAGATGCACATGCACTCATACTTGGTTTCAAATAGATAAACTAGATAAGAACAATTTACCCTTCGACTCGAACCCAGGCGTGCTTGGTTCTCCTGGTTCCCTGAACCCAGGCCCTGGGTTCCTTCGAAGGAACCCAGCACCTGGGTTCGAGGAACCCAGGCGCTGGTGCTGTGCTCCTTCGAACCCAGGCGCTAGTGCTGTGCTCCTTCGAACCCAGGCGCTGGTGCTGTGCTCCTTCGAACCCAG